GATGTTTAATAAAGTAGTACCCAGCGGAATGATCTCAGCGTTTCATTTTATTGTTGTTCTTTTGTTTGTTTTTTTTTTTTAGAGAGGCACCTGCGTTTGACATTACTTCTTTCTGCTGTTGTATGTTGTTTTTTTAAACTTTATCGTGACTGTTAAATCAACAGCTAAAGTTACAATGTCAGCTGCTCAACTAATAATTCATAGTTTTGTATTTTAAATATATCTAAAGATTAGTGGGTATAAACAGAGGAATTTTTATTTGATTATCTTTAGCTGCCACTTATAATAAGATATTCGTCGAATTTTACTTCTTGAATAAGCACGCTAACTCAAATTTTCAGAGATTGTTCTTCGGAAAAACCTGAAAGTTTCACCCTGAATCCTGATAATTTTTTTTCCTTTTCAAACTAGTTTATATAAATAATATACTAACTTGAGGGTTAGATTCTTTATTTTTTGTATAGAAGTTTATCCTCCGGTATGCTAAACGAAAAAAAAATTATAAAGGCGTTAGCCAGAAAACTTTTTTTGTGTGTGTGTGAAAACATTTTCAAAAAGCAAGTCAAGTAAAAATGTCACGAGCTCTCTCTCGTATATTCGTAAAAGTAGAAATTTGGAATTTAGTGGTGCGTTATAAATCGATAGTTTAGTAACCCCTAAGTGTCTGCAAAACCTGCTATAACAGATTCACCTATGACGTCACTTCCGGTCGGAGTAACATTGTTTCAGTTTCCATTAAGCTAATATTTACTTCCTAATGAAGCGTGTCTTGAAAGAACTTGTTTATTTTATAGTTTTGGCGTATGGGAAAAATTTACAAATATCAACACGAATACAAGATACTAAGAAAAAACGGAATAATCTTTTATGAAGTAAAAATGAAGGGTGAGAGAAGTTAAGGCGCCAAAACCACAAGTATGCAATGTTTTTATAATTATTTTATTCATTATCTACAATAAGTCTCCCATTACTGGCTTATCGTACTGCTATTCTTTATGCATTTACTTTAGATCCACTCATAGCGAAAGTTTTGGGGTTTGTTTGTTTTGTTGTTGTTACTCATATCACTTGAATTGCACATTGTTGTAAAAATATATCGGAATATTTTTTCAATAAATTAACGCTTCTTTACAAATTGTTTATACGTTTTTTTTTTTTTTTATCAACATTTACGATTGTTGATTTCAAATGACTCAAAAGCATGTTGTTCCATAAACTTTCATTACCCATAATGTAATTGAACATTCCTCTAACACATTTTGTTCGGAAGAGGGCGCTAATTAATTGTCCGATATGTTTTTGAAAGTTAAGTAGACAATCTACATAAATAAACATCAATATGTGTATGTGTATATCTGTTCCCTATACGTTTTCTACTATGGAAAGCTTTGACCAAGCAGCATGTCTACAGGCTTGATGCATACTCATGCATTAGATCACTTGTAGAACACCCTTCTGTCTGAATAACTGCCTATGGTCGTGTTGCTATTTGTTCTCCCTTCTCGACAACTGGAACAGACGCCAAACTCTCCAATACAGCCTCACTCCCTCCATACTGCCTGGTTGTCCATATATGGAGCCCAGCTCCAATAGGAAGGAATTGGGGTCGATACTGCAACTGGTTCTTAATCATTCGAGCTGACTTAAGTCAACATCAACAACACCTTTTACTGTTAGATTTCGCCAATGCTTTCATTGTTTTTCTCTAAAGATTTCTCTCCGTTTACAAGTCGTATATTAGTTTGGGGGTATGAATTACAATGTTTCACTAATACGTACCCCCCAGTGGCTCGGTAGTAAGTATAAAGTCTTACAACGCTAAAAACCGGGTTATACCCGTGGTGGGAACAGCAAAGATAGCCCATTGTGTATCTTTGTGCTTAACAACAAACAAATAAGCTCCGAATAGATGTAGACCTTGCATTTTCACTCTTTAATAATGAAACAATGTAATTGTTTGCTTATTAAGAATATTTCAATTTTCATGACTGAAAACAATACTCTCACAATTAAACAAAACACTGGGTATACCACATACACAGTGGTGTAAAACTTCATTGCATCACCAAATTTTTTTTAAAAGGTTTCTTTGAAATCTTCGTCTGTTTTAAGGCCCTAATGCACATAGGTACAAATGTGTTTCATGGATGATGCAATACTGTCTAATTATTACAACAGCAATTTTATGGAATGTCTGGGTATTGAACCTGTCGGTTTTTGGCTATAAATAGAGGTTCTTATTGAGAGTCAGTTTAGAAGCTGATCTGCTACAACGTGCATGTGATGCTACCATGGCCGAGGGTTGAGAGTCAGCTCCACGGAATAAAGTAGTCATCGTTTCTTTGAGCAAAGGACTTTCAACAAGGCAACTTGCTAGAACAAATAAACCTAACAATTCTACTGTGAGCTACTGGATGTAAAGATATCGAGTTTGGCTGTGTGTAGTGGCAGAAGGGAAAGGGTAAAAAAAGAAAGCAGCTAACGATAGTGTTTTGGAACTCGTGAGCTTGCAGAACCGTCGACTGTCGCCCATAAACCTCAAAAGAGCACGGAAGGAAACTATCACCATGTACACCATCCGGTCTCGCCTACGTTCAGCTGGCCTACCAGCAAGATGACCAAGAAAGAAACCCCTCTTCACCACAATATGAAGAAAATGAGGCTCAACTGGACCAAAGAGCATGCTTACTGGACTTAAACAATGTGTAGTAATCTTCTTAGACGAATCAAAGTTCAATCTGCATGGGTCTGGTGGGAAGTAGTTTGTATGAAGTCGATGTGGAGAAGAGTTTCATCCAGCGTGTTCGAATGCAACTGTGAAGCATCCGAATGGTCAGATGATATGAGGATGCATCTCTGGCCAGGGTGTAGGACATCTGAATTTTGTGAAAGGCACAATCAATTCCGACAACTACATCAAGGTTCTCGAGTCCCAGTTAAAGTCAACAATTCAATTGAGCTGACCAGTGCACATTCCAGGATGACTTTGCTCCATGCCACAGATCTAAAATGGTTACTAATATTCATATACTCTATGCAGTAAACGCGAATTAAAGAAAAAATTTCATTCTACATGTATTGAAAATACATCTTAGGTTTTATTTCATTGCTTTAGATGAAGGACTATCTTTGAAGGGAGAAGCTCAAGAAACTACGCTGGCCAGGCAACTGCTAGAAGACAATGGGCAACAAAGTGCAAGACAAGAAACCAAGAAGCACCTAGGAACTGCAAGAAGCCATAATCCACGTATGGCATCATGAACTTACCCCTGCCTACATTTCGCCCCTCGTGCACTATGCCATGGCGATGTCAGGGAGTTATCAAAGCCAGAGGAGCACAGCCAAATATTAAAACAAGAAACTGACTCTGTGACCACTTATGTCAATTACACTAGTGGCGTTATTTTTAAATCTAGGTTTCCTTACACGAAGAATTTGCCAAGTAAAAAAAAAATAATTATACTCTGCCTGTGATACGTTTGTCATGGTTGGTTTGTTAATAAAAATAGCACGAAACGTTCCATTTCTTCTAGCCACTTATGATATTCTCAGGTAAACTAATTTCATACAACAGCAATCACAGCACGAAACTTTTCTTTTATTCTGGCCACTTATGGTATTCTCAGGTAAACTAATTTCCTACAACAGCAATCATAGCACAAAACATTCCTTTTCTACTGGCCACTTATGGTATTCTCAGGTAAACTAATTTTATACAACAGCAATCACAGCACGAAACTTTCCTTTTCTTCTGGCCACTTATGATATTCTCAGGTAAACTAATTTCATACAACAGCAATCACAGCACGAAATTTTCCTTTTCTTCTGGCCACTTATGGTATTCTCAGGTAAACTAATTTAACAACAGCTAATCACAGCACGAAACTTTCCTTTACTCTGGCCACTTATGGTATTCTCAGGTAAACTAATTTCCTACAACAGCAATC